GGCACGCGTGCCTCGAGATTGGCCGGTTGACTCACGTGGTTCGAGCTGTAGTCGAGTTAGGTCGCGGCGGTGCGCGGGGAGTTGGGCTCTAGCATTGGACGCGGCCGGGTGTGTCGCTGGATCGCAGTGGAAGGATCGGTCTGCCCGGCCGTTTCAGAAACTCGGATCCACAGATTCATGTATAAACGGCTGTCTGAAAATCGGTAGTCGGTCTGCCTGGCTGTCTACCGGGGTAAGGAGGCTCGTTTATACATGCGTCTGCAAAATTAAGGGATCGGTTTGATCTGCCGGTCTCTGTGACAGATTTGGACCCAACGCACCAACTTAACCATTTCACTTTGTACCCGACATCATGTCGGCTTGAAGGGCGGTATTTTTGGGGTAGTCCTCGAGCATATCTTCTCGGGATTCATTTGTCATATAGGTTAAGGGTAGAGCCGGCACTGCGGCCGTTGCTCCGCTGGCGATGGGTGGCTCTAGTCTCTGACAGTGGGTGTTGTTTTCTGGTGAGTGAGCTGGTTTGTCTGGTTTTCTGGTTGCTAAAATACATCCTCCTGGTGTATCTATACACTCTTTAACTTGGAATTGTAACATAGTCCTCCTGGGGCCGGATGGTCGGTTCGATCGGCTGTGCTGTTATCAGTCGGTTGGATCGACGTTTCGGTCTGATTCTTTGAAACGGTTTATTCGGCTGTGTTGTTATCAGTCGGCTGAATTGGTTTGCCGGTCTAGTTTTGTTTGACACGGTCCGGTCGGCTGTGTTGTTATCAGTCGGTTGGATTGGTTTGTAGTCTAAGTTGTTTGATACAGTCCACTTTAAATACTTGGCATACAATTTGGCCTAGCTTTGAACCATGGAGGATTTGTTGGCGACCAGAACCAGACTCCGCTCAAAGGCGACCCGGCTTTGTAATGACCTCCGATCGTATCGAGAGGCAGATCGTACGACGGTGGATCCTGACCAGCTTGCCCTCAAGCTTCACCACCTGGAGAAGCTGCGCCATGAGATGGAGGGTGTCCAGGGTGACCTGGATAAGCTGGATCAGTCAGATGATACCAACCACTTGCAGATTCTTGAGGACGAGATGTTTCTCGGTTCGCGCCTCCTTTCTCGCCTTGAGAAAGCTGAACAAGCGCCAGTCAGGGTTGACGCTTCAAACTTCGCGGGAAACGCAGACTTCAAAACGTCCCTCACCGTGAAAATTCCCATTTTTCATGGTGACGTAATGCAGTGGTCTGAATTCTGGGACTTGTTTGCCATATCTGTTCACAACAACTCAGGATACGCTCTTGTCCAGAAACTCGTGGTACTGAAATCGCACCTGGCAGGTGATGCTTTGCGCTGCATTGAGGGCATTCCAGTGTCGAGTGACGGCTACCTTCAGGCCGTGGCCGCGCTCAAGGAGCGGTTTGAACGGGATGATGTGCGGCGGGAGACACTGATGCGTGACCTCCTGAACCTGCAACCCGTTCGACACGGCGACCTTAAAGGCATGCGGTCATTGATCGATCACTTGTCTGCGCGTACTCGAGCGCTCAGTACACTTGGCGTCCACCCAGAAAGCTTTTCGAGTCTGTTGCTGCCAGTCGTTAAGGATAAGATCCCTGAGGATTGGCGTCTAGAGTGGGTCAGGAGAGAGAGTGGAGACTTTACGGAATTTCTACACTTCCTCAACCGTGAAATACGGCTCCGAGAATCAGCAAAAGGGGTGTCAATGGTGCAGACACGACCCGTGGCCCCGTCCGCTTCCACTCAGTCTGTTACAAGCATTCTCACTGCGCGGCGAGAGCCCGGCTCTGAGAAGCAGAGGCCCCCTCACGGGCCAAGGACCGTGATGTGTCCTGTTTGTCAGCAGGCGCAGCACGGTCTAGAGAGGTGTGACAAGTTTCAAACCTTCAATCTGGAAGCCCGTTGGGAGACTGTGAAGGCAGTGAGGGCGTGTTTTCGGTGTCTGAAGTATGGACATCAGGTTCGGGACTGCAAGTGCAGTTGGTGCACGGAGTGTGGCGGGCCGCACCACCCCCTGCTCCACAATCATCGTCCCTCGCCATCGAATTCACCCAGCAACCAGTCGGAACTGTCGCCTGGGGCTGTACCTTTCTCTCCAGCACATCCTACTGACAGAGTGGCGCGCCCTGATGGCAGCCCAAGTGAACTCACGGGGCAGAGTCGCCACCGGTACAGTGCCAGTACGGCAAATGAGAAAGCACATTTCTTCCAGACGGCTCTCGTAAACGCTGTGGGACCCAAGGGTAGCCGGAAGGTCCGTATCCTCCTAGACGGAGGGTCCGACTCCTCCTACATCAGGAGCTCGCTGGCAGAGGAACTCGGTCTTCCCAGCACCGGCACGGCTACCTTTGCCTGCCTCGGATTTCAGGAGAAGGCTGAGGAGGCTCGCTCGTACGACAAGGTACAGGTGGAGCTCAGAAGCCTGTTTGGTGACTATTCTCTGAAACTTGACATGTGGAGCACAGATCAGCTGTGCTCGCCCCTTCCCACCTCTTCGCCACCCCCTGTTCCTGCCGGTCTGGATCTGGCCGACGACTTTGGTGGTGGCGAAGTTCATGTATTGATCGGCCTCGACAATCTTTATCGAATCGTGCTGTGGGGACAGGTGGAACTTGAAGAAGGGCTTAGAGCCATAGAGACTGTCTTTGGCTACGCCATTCACGGGTACCGCGGCGACGTTTCGCTGATACCGACCGGTCACCAGTCTTCCCACTGTCAGCTGAGACAGGTGAGGAGTCTGGATGAAGTGAGGGTCGGCCAAAATGAGGCCATGGATGTGGATGGCATGCTGCCTGAGCCACACTGGGACAAGCCTGTGGGCTGTTCCAATGAGATGAATTTGACGATGCAGTCGGATGAGCGTCCACCATCCGATCATGGTTCCGCAAAGGCGGGAACCCCGCAGCAAGAGCTGTTCAATGCAAAAAAGCCTCACCTGAGCGGTGACGACCTGCATAAAACGATGACTACTAAGGGTGGAGACACGACTCTCTCTGTCAAGGGGTCAAATGATGACACAAAACAAAATGGTGATGGCGGCGCCGGGCTGTCGCCAGGCAAACGCGACTCCTGGGCTGTCGCCCGGAGTCAGGGTCTCAAGCCCTCATCGCATGTTCCTGTGGAGTTCGTCCAATCATCTGCCGTGGACGAGACGGACCGGAGCCAATGGAGTGCTGTAGCACCCCGGCGGCCTCGCCGATGCCTGTCGGCTCCGACGCGAGACCGTCGGCAGCCGCCTCCGAAGAGCCGACGTCTGCGGCGCCGCTGGAGGAACGACGAGGCAAGATGGAGGTGGAGCCGGAGCTGGAGGACGACTGCCCCACTGGAGGCACCGTCTCTTTTCACAGCATTCCCACGTCTGTGGAAGAGGAGAAAGAAGAGGACGTAGCCGAGGACGCTGGCCCCCCGGCTCAAGGACCCATGGCCGGCTGCGGAAGGCCTGACCAGGCCCAAAAGGACTGCCGCAAGTTGGCGTGCGGCCAGTGCCGTGATGTGTGTTTTGTTTGTGATTTGTGCGCGCGTTGTGACTAGTGTCGAAAATGTGTTAACTTTTTGTTCCCACATTTTGGTGGGGAGGATGTTAAGGTTTGCTACTTTAGCCTAAGAAGTGTTTTCTTTTATTATGTGTATTGTGTGCATCATGTACCCCGTGCCGGCGCTGGGCTCGCCAGCCGGCCGCCGAGCAGAGCCGCCGCGCCGCTCTGCGGCACAGCCTGCGTTCAGGGGCACGCGTGCCTCGGGATTGGCCGGTTGACTCACGTGGTTCGAGCTGTAGTCGAGTTAGGTCGCGGCGGTGCGCGGGGAGTTGGGCTCTAGCATTGGACGCGGCCGGGTGTGTCGCTGGATCGCAGTGGAAGGATCGGTCTGCCCGGCCGTTCCAGAAACTCGGATCCACAGATTCATGTATAAACGGCTGTCTGAAAATCGGTAGTCGGTCTGCCTGGCTGTCTACCGGGGTAAGGAGGCTCGTTTATACATGCGTCTGCAAAATTAAGGGATCGGTTTGATCTGCCGGTCTCTGTGACAGATTTGGACCCAACGCACCAACTTAACCATTTCACTTTGTACCCGACATCATGTCGGCTTGAAGGGCGGTATTTTTGGGGTAGTCCTCGAGCATATCTTCTCGGGATTCATTTGTCATATAGGTTAAGGGTAGAGCCGGCACTGCGGCCGTTGCTCCGCTGGCGATGGGTGGCTCTAGTCTCTGACAGTGGGCGTTGTTTTCTGGTGAGTGAGCTGGTTTGTCTGGTTTTCTGGTTGCTAAAATACATCCTCCTGGTGTATCTATACACTCTTTAACTTGGAATTGTAACAATTCTGTCCATGTTACTCAGCCCATGATTCCTGTCCTTATTTGCTGTATTGTGTAATGTGTGTGCATCCTGTTTCAACCATATTTCGACCATCCTTCTTACAAACGTCGGCCTATTCTTACAGACCTTTGGGACTGTCCCATCGCCGCAGTCCGGGTCTGTGATATCAGCCTGTATGATCGGGGCACCTTCATATTCCCATTATACCACTTACACGCTAGACACTCAGGGTGAACGAGGGGCGGCGCTGTGTCACTGGTATACACAGAGGATGGTCTGTTGACCGCCAGATCCCCCTGCGTGCTGTCTCACTATGTTCGCCCCGGTTCCATGTGTGTCTGCTGGAGATATGGGACAGATTGTGGCATGAAAGGCCTGATTGTGGTGTTTGCAGGCCTTGAACTAGAAGAGTTTGGTCAAGGCTTCTTAACGGAAGTGTTATTTTTTCTGACCGACTGTTGCCCTTTCATTATTCCAATGTTCAAGCCCTATAACCAGCCTATAGAAATCAAATCGACGTATGCTGTTGTTGACGGTCATGATTGTCTAAGCCATTTTCTTCTCTTATAGCCCTTCTCTACCGGCGTGGTCTAAGGTTTCTTTATCCATGCAAAGTATTTGACATACCGCAAGATGTTTTCTGCCTGCTAACCAGTCCCATCGTCTGCCCTCAGACGCCGGTATCTGCCTGGTGTTGTTCGTCATGACTTTGGCGTACTTTCCGTCCCGCCCGCCGCTGCCGCCGTCCATTTCTGCTTCCACCAACACCGTCACCTTCCGAGAGGGACTCGGCATGGCCTTCAGGTGCGTATTCGGCAGGGACTGGCTTTGTGAAGGTGTGGTTTAGAGCGGGGTACCGAGTGGGGCTCAAACTTTAAACTTCCGTGAGGGATTTGGCATGGCATTTAGGTAAGTATCGGCTGAACCAATGTGTGGTATAGACTAGAGTGAGGTACCGAGTTCGGTTTAGACTTAACAGGGGTTCACAGGGGACTGGGCATGGCCGTCAGGTGGGTATTCGGCGGAAATCGCCTGTTGGAATGTGTGTTGTAGAGCGAGTGACCGAGTAGGGTTCAAACTTTGAACTGGGACTGGGGATGGCATTTAGCTGAGTAACTGGAAAGGGTATCTTCATAATTCATTCCTCGGTATTGAAGGACTGCGTGTCGGTACAGAGTGGAAGATCGAGATTGCTTCAAATCAGAATCTTAGTAGGGAGAGAGTGGTTATGGTATTTAGGGGGGTTTCTGGACGGGCTAGGTAAGAGGGCTCTGAGGGAGGTTACGGAACTATAAAAGCTAAAATTCTGCAATGCCATGAGTGGAACAAGATGTGTACTTGTAATTCGGATGTCAGTCGTGAGTCGTAAGTTGTTTTCCACTGCGGAAGTGAACCTCCGTTTTGTGCACACCTGTTTTTTAGCCCTGTCTCCGCTTGTCGCGACTCCGATCTGACACTGACTGTGTTTGTCCCTCGGCAGACACCCGGACCTCATCTGTATCGTGCTGGCGTACAGCCTGTCCCAGGGCGTGATGGGCGCCTGGTTCGGCATTCTGGACATCAACGTGCGCCCTCTGGGTGTCACTGAGGTACGATCGTGCGCCCGACCTTTGGAAACGCCAGAACACTGAAGTACTTGTGAAGGGATGTAGTTGGCTTATGACGAACGAAAATCAAATCGATAAATCTTAGGATCATATATATGTTATCGGGTATCGCTTCTACTGCGAACTCACTGGTAGCGGTGTTGGTGTCACGTTCTGGCCTCTTTTTGCGTCTGCGGTAGAAGCTGATCAGATTTGTCGACAGTGCCGCCATCTGCATCGTATCCATCTGTCTGTCTACCGAAATGTACTGGTGTCTCACTAACGTGCTGTATTCTGGCGACTCGGTCATACCGCACTTTCATGTCAATATCTCGGTGCGATCGCCATTATGTCGACAAGTCCCGCGTCGCCGCCGCCCCACGCTCACCACCATTCTCTCACTCCCCGTATTTCAGAACGAGGCGAGCATGATGGGTATGTGGGCGGGCATCTGCTGCTGCGCGTTCGCGCTGGTGGTGGCGCGCCTCACGGACATGTTCCGCGGGCACATCAAGGCCACCATCATCGGCCTACTGGTGGTCGGCCTGGCCCACTGGTGCTGGTTACTGGCGATCGTGGCCGGCTGGGCACCCTTCTCCAACGGTTAGTGGCGCCGTGGAAAGGCGTGGCCTCTGTCGTGGGCTGAGGTCGGGTTTATAGAGGCTGGGTTTGGATATTGGGTGATATGTGTGTTCTTCCATTTCGCCGGACTTGTTCTGAGATTTCTAAGATAGAAGTAGTCTTAGCTTTTGACCACCGCATTTTGTTGAAATTTATGGCGGCTGGTCTACCAATACCAGAATAGACCCCTATCCCCTCGACCGACTGACCGAGCGCTCCCTGCGCTTTCCGTCCACTAATGCCGTGACAGGTCCTCCGGGTGTCCAGAAAAAAAAGATACTACGGAAATTAAGTCGCATTCATTAACGCACGTGCCGATTTTGTTCCAACTTCACGTGCTTATAGTGCAAGATTTGGCAAAACTCATGAGCACTGTAATGCGTCGTTGGGAAGTTGTCTGTCTGCCCTCCGAGATGGTCAACATGACCATCAGTCACCTGCAGACCGTGCTAGTGCTGGAGCTGATCCGCCGGAAGGCCGCTCACATTGAGTATCTGCTTTGAGGAGCTGCCGCGACTAACCAAAGGGTTTATATGTCATGTGGCACCTGCTGTCTGTTTTGCCATATTTTTACGAATACAAGCATGTGCCAGTTTGAAATGTGCGGCGTTTATTTTCGGAATTACAGCAAATAATAATAGTATCCGTTTTTCTGGACACCCTGTACCTCTACCCTCCTTGACTGAACGCTGTATCGCCCGCCCACCAGTAGCGGTCCACCCCCACCCTCTCTCAGTGCCCATGACCCCCACCCTCCCTGACTGATCGCTGTGTGCCCTCCGTCCGCCAGTGCACCTGTTTTGCGCGGTGCTGGTGGCCATCTGCTGCACGTACGCCGCCTCCCCGCTCCTCTTCGAATACGCCTCTGAGGTCAGCTACCCCATCCCCGAGGACGTCGTCGGAGCCACCATGAGCTTCACATTCAACCTGGTCGGCATGCTCTACCTGCTGTTCTTCCTCAACAAACGACTTGGTGAGTCGGAGTCATTGGGCGGGGGGTAATACTTGTACAGATAGAATTGGTAATTTGTTGTCCGGTGTATCGAATTCATTGAGTGCCTGGTATTACTCGCTTAGATAGCATTTGAAATATAATTATATCAGTAATAGGTACCTAAATCAGTCATTCATTTCACAGCATTTTTTTGCTTTGACTTTGGTGTTGACTTTTTCAATATGTAATCGCGTTTTTTTTTTTTAACGTGATTCATATGAGGCCTGAGCTGCTATTCTTGTTCCATGTATCTCTTCTCAAATACATGTACCTGTTATTGAAGGCTCGCTTAATTTACGTTTACCTCCACGTTTTGTATCCCGTCTCCGTCTCTCCGCCAACTGCTGTCTAACTGCCCTCCCCCGTGCGCGCCTCCTCAGCCGAGCAGACGGTGTGGCTCAACTACTGCCTGGTGGTGGCCACGGCCATACCCATCGTGCTGATGCTGCGCACCAAGTCAGTCTACCGGCGCTCGGCAGTTGACGACGCCTCAGTCACGGCGGCCATCACCGAGTCGGTGTCTGGCTACCAGCCGCTCTGATGAAGGCGACGACTGGCCTAGTGTTAGGTGAGAGAGGGGGCCTCTCAGGACGATGCGAGAGGGGGGACGCCGCCTGTCTCCAGACACGGTCGGCCCTGACTGTGTCATAGTTAGGACACCTCGAGGAGACAGCGCCATCCGGTGGGTTGAGTAGCAGCGACACCTCTCTGCGGTGTGCCTCTGTGACGGAATGGTGTCGTCGCGACTGCTCTGAGACCGGCGAGGCGGCGGAATGGTGTGTTGGCGAGGCGTCGGGACGGTGTGTTGGCGAGGTGGCTCTGCAGTCGGCGTCGGCTGCGGACCGGGAAGCGTTCAGGCTGGCTGGGCTGGTATCAGTGCCCGCACGTGAGCTGGTATGATGCTGCTTTGATGAAAAGCAGCCACCCACTAAAGGAGAGCTCGGTTGATGAGGGGAGCTCGGTTGATCTGAGAAAAGCGTCACGGAAAGCTAGACTCAGAGACAGGACATCTTGCCACCTGTTCGAAGTGCTCAATCGGATCACTGCAGGAAGCCATTGGTGCGCCGACGCTGACTAGATTTGACGCACCCTGATATCAGCAAGTCAATTTTACTCGACCATGAGCTATCATGCCGTGCCTTCAGCGTCTTCTAAAAGTGTTTGATCTTTTTTGTCCCAATCGCTGCCCATGACATATATGCTGCCTCATTGAATAGCCTGAGTGAGTGAGGACCTTTGGAGTACCATGCATTACCTCAAAGATACTGTCGATTCAGCAGGTGATGCGCCCCTGGGTACCCTGCTTGACACCAAGTACGGAGAACTACAGTGCGTGCAGTGTATGTGTGTGAGAAAAAGAGGAAAATGGGAGAATCTGAGCTCCTTGCTCACTGAGAGCGTATGACCATGCAGGAGGAAGCCTACATGAGTGACAATCGTGGCCTATTCAGGGCAGAGAGGCTCGGTACTCGTGGTTTGCCGTGTGTAAATGTACATTACGACATTACGACATACGACATGTGTAATGTACTCGTGAGTGGCTCTTTGTGTGTTGTGCCCTGGTCTGCGGCCTGCGTGCTCGGGCGTCTTTCAAACGCTATCTAGTCCGTGCGCGGTACCTGATGTGGTCGGCACGGTGTGGACCGAGCTCCCCGAGCCGGGCTGTAGATAGCAGCCGTGTGAACGTGACTTTAGGGCAGGGATAGTGTGGTTTGTAGTGACAATATTCCAGTGTGTTTTTGTCCGATGCTGTTATTTGACATCGATGGGGTGTGGTAATACTACCCAGTTTATTTTTAGGACAAGGTTTAGTAGTTCTACAAATAGTTTGCCAGTTGGAAGATGGTAGCTCTGCGGAAAATGCAGATGTTTGTTGCCATTTTGTGAGTGAGTGTGAATCATGTCGCAAAGCTCGTATTTTAGAAGAAAGGTAGAAAGCAACGAGCCCAAAATTTATGTCGTACAACCTGATTATATAGTGTGACGCTCGCCGGCAACTGCGAGAGACCCAGCTGGCGAGTTTTGAAGCAGTAGTGCTACAACTGTGACCGCTGTTGCCACTGTGTTACTATGGTACACTGTGTTATGAAATGCGCGCACCTATTTTACTCTGGTGCGCCACGGACAATGCGATTGGCTCGACCCGTATTTTAGCGTGTGTTCATCTATTTCAGAGCGTGTGTGACGTGCGGATGCTGAAATGATATTTAAACCCCATTTTATTCAGTGCGCGATTGGCTGGCGAATCAAGTCCAGGTGTCAACCACCTGTCTATTACCTGGTGGTAGTATATCGGGTCCAAATTCTTTTAAGATCTTATGATAGACATTTATAATAAAAAAACCGCCAAACAGACCTTCAGTGTCTGTTCAGACAAATGCTAAGTAAATATGCATTTGGTATGACAGTATGGCGCCTTCAAATGTGATTGCAATCAGCGGTTAAGCTCGTGTATCGGCGGGTGAGATCTGAACATCAATTCAAAAGCGGACAATCTTGTCGACCATCTCTGATTCACCCGATGTGCTGCCACCATGGTGGGAGGTTTGTTCACACTGGCCGTGTTGACCCACCGTTTTCGTGTCCGCGCCCGCGGTGTCGGCTCCTGCCGTCCAGCCTCTGATCAGCAGAGAGCGGCCGCTGTGTCGGCACCGGACGGCTGTCGGGATCGCCGGGCTGCTGTGACTCACAACTGACCGTCAATACATAATACACAGATATAGCGCTGGGCTAGTGTGCCGGAGATGGGAGATGATTCCATGAGGGATCGAAATGTTGGCTTGGTTGTGCTCTCGATGAGAAAAAAAAAAACAACTTTAGATACTTGGCCGCAAAAGCATCAGTTTTGAAAAAAAGTTTGCTGAAAAGCAAAAAAATCACAAAAATGGACATAGCCATTTGAAGGGCAAAAAGTTGCCTACTTTGTTACGTCTTGCCTTTTCGAAACTTTATGTGCTACAAGTTCTTCAAGTTTCGGAGATATAGCAGAATGGTGCGTCATGAATATGATGTCAATAAATTGCTATTACCTACATCTGAAAGTTCTGGGGTGGGGAATTTTGTTAATCTTCTGAGGGCTTAAAATGAAGACTTAAAAATATTGCATTGGTATCAAGCAGCTAGGCTCCAAGCATTCAAAAGACGTTGCAGAAATGCGGGGTCAGATCCCTCAGCTGACGGTGCGTTACGCTCAGTGTTTGGTCACGTCGCCCGACCGCACTGTGCACACGTGCCGCCGGTAACGGGACCGTCTCGCCGTGGTTCGCTCGTGTGCCGGTGTGTGGGACGGCACCCGTGCCGGGCGCCGGTACACGGTGTCAGTCGTGGGAGCCGCCTCCAGCAGACCGTGGCAGTGTGCGGCGGAGCGTCCGGCCGGCAGCAGTGCGCAGTCGGCGCCGAGCAGGAGACCCTGTGACTGCTCTGCCCGACATGCTCCGGTGCTCGGCGGGGTGGCCCGTGCGTGCGACTGCTCCGTTTGGGTCGTATGTGGACAGTGAGCGGTGAACGGCGCCCCGTGACGGGTCGGGCGATGCCTGTGCTCGGCGGCCGGCAGGGTCTGCGCCGCCTGACCGCCGGTCTGACTCTGGTGTTGACGTGCGTCTTGTTGATGCAGTCAGCGCATCGGCAGCATCCGCGCTGGGTGTCCACGGAACAGAGAGGAGGGACAGAGGAGGACCAGCAGGCCGGCGAGGGCCCGACCTCTGTGAGTGACGTGCTACTGCGGCTGTGTCCTCCGCTGCACGGCCATGTGGACTCGTCGGACGTGCCTGCCAACGTCCAGCACGTCCTGCGCTGGGCCTGCCTCCAGCTGGAGAAGCCGTCACCGCCGCCGGCCACCCCGACCGGCTGCAATAAAACGGTCTCTTACCTGCCGATCGGCCGGCTAGGCAACCTGATGGGCCTGTACGCCATCATCTACAGCTACAGCAGAATCTACGGCGCTGCCGGGTATGTGGACGATAAGATGCTGACCAAGCTGACGCGCTACTTCCCTGGCCTGTCGCTGCCGCCCTCGTCGCGGCTTCCCACGGGGGTTCAGCGGCACAACATATCCTACCAGGACGCCGCCAAGTATCTCGAGTGCGAGCCGGGGGAACACCACTCCCAGCCGCAGCATTATCTGATTACCATCTACCCGGACCGAAACGGCATCGACCTCTTTCACCCGTTCTACTCGGAGCTGCGCCGAGAGTTTGAGTTCTCTGCGCGTCTGCAGCAGCAGGCGCAGACGTTCCTTCACTACGCGCGTGGCAAGCGCAGCACCGTCACCTTCATCGGTGTGCATGTGCGCCGTACCGACTACCGCGCATACATTGAAACCAAGTACAAGGGCGCGCTGCCCGACGAGGAATACCTCAGCCGTGCGCTCGACTTCTACCGGCGCCGCTACGCCGACGCGCTCTTCATCGTCTGTTCCGACGAGCTCGACTATGTAGCCAAGCAGCTGCACGTGCGTGAGAGCAAAGACATCGTACTAGCCGGCAACCGGAACCTGGAGGACCCGGGCCGCGACATGGCGCTGCTGGCGGCCTGCAACCACTCTGTGGTGACGGTGGGCACGTACGGCTTCTGGGGCGCCTACCTGGCCGGCGGCACGGTGCTGGCACCCGAACAGCAGACGCACATGACCATGGGCGACCGGCACGCGCCGCTGCTGGAGATCCAGCTGGCCGGCGCCGACAACTGGGTGGCGCTGAGGTGATGGAGGACCGCGGCCAGATGAGCCGAGAGGAGGACCGCGAAGGCCGGGAACTGGGAGGGGCAGCAGAGTCCAGGGACAGCAGTTAAGGGAGAGCGGTGAGGCGTACTCCACGATCGGGAAGGTGCTGTAGCTCGAGGTTGCAGTCGCGTGTCTTGTGCGTGGTGAGAGGCCGGTGGCCGCGGTGATATAATATGATGGGCCTGTGAATGTTATGCTTGTTTCGATCGAATAGGAAATGAATGGGCAATAGCATGCTTTAAGCATGTGGTGCTAGACTGGTTATGGTACATCGTGGTCAGGCTGCGACATTGAACTGGGTTTTAAATACGTCTCGACCTCTTCCGATCTGGTCACCGACGATAGGTTAAATTTCTAGTTGAAGAGCCCAATCGAATTCAATCGACGCGTCCTGATGAAAGGCAACATAATGTTAGGAATCTCAATGGCGTGCAGGCTTTGTAGGTACTAAACGCCCTTGTAGAAACGAACATTTTTCACAAATGTGTTAACCCTCGCCCGTATAGGGGGGGGGGGGTCGAACGGACCCCCCCATGGTTTTTCGCGAATAACTCGCGTAAAAAGCGGCCGATCGCGACGAAACTTTCAGTAGGGGAGAGTGGGGAAAGATGCCCAGGGTTTTGCTATGTCATATATTATTCGAAAATGACGATGGGAAAGCAAAAACTTTGAGTTTCAACGGAAGCCGACATCATTTTTCTTCAAAAATATCACACTTTCGTGCCTGAAATATTATAACTTTTTTTGCTATTAAGCATTTTCCTGAAGAAGTGAAAGGGGGCATCTTACCCCACAGGGTGGGTAAGACGCCCCCTGACGTTGGGAAAGATGCCCCCTGCACTATAAGTGACATAAATGGGCACGTGAATCGCCTGAACGAATCAGTAGTCCCTTCGAGCCTGCAGTAGACACCAAACGTCATCATAAGGGCCCGCAAAAGTAGTCGTAAGGGGCTTCAGAGGTCATCGTTGGGGCCATCATAGTCCAGCGCGGCCAAACAAGCCTCCGTGGTGGCGTTCGGAGACCACTGTGGGGCTCTTATAGGTCTTCATGATGCTTGAGTGCCCTCGAGCCCATCGTGGGGACCTCCGATGCCAGCGCGGCCCGTGGGGCCAACGTGGGAGCCCTCAAAGGATGTCGTGAGGGGCCCTGGAGCCAATAATGGGGCCCACAGAGGCCGTCGTGAGGGTTCTCAGAGTCAGATGCCGCCCAAAAAGTCGCTATGTGGGCCGAGAGACCGGCATTGGGAGCACCCGACCGTACTGGACTCTCAATAGTCCCAGATCGGCTTTTGTCTACATCACAAGTATGTAATAAATGATTTGACAGGCTGTTTGAAGGACAGCCTACGGATTTAGCAGGGCGTCTTTCCCCATCAGGACAGGGGGCATCTTACCCCAAGGTACCGAAGTAACATTAAATCAGTACAATTTGTTAGCCATAAGACTACACCCTGAAACAAACTGTTTGGGACACAGTACACGCATGCTAATGTATCACGACTATAGCAAGTGACGCAAACATTATTAACCTTCTTTGATATTTACAATGTTCTGACACCAAAATATTTTTTGAAAGCAGCAAATAAAAAACATGCAATCATCAGCCAGCCGTTGCCCAACTGAGCTTCGCAATTTTTTGTGCAGTTAACAAGGCAGGCTTCCACTTTACGCTAAGAACATTAATTTCCAGGTCCGATTCTTTGTTTCGCCTCTAGAGGGGGTCTTTCCCACCCTGGGCATCTTGCCCCACTCTCCCCTACCCTCGCGTTCATCAATTTCACACCTACCCTGAAAATTTCATGACCCTGACCCAAATGACCTTTGACCTGTGACCTACTTTTCGAGACCATGTTTGGCTGGAATCGCGATTCGGCGTATGTCGGCTCGCATTAGCCGCGCATTTGCAGTCTTTTCGTGGTTTCAAGCGTTCAAACATGTGATATGATGTTGCCCCCATGCATTAGGGTGGGTGTCAAGGTCACCTGAAGGTCAGGTCAGGTCATTGACCTTTGATGACCTCGGTTCACTTTTTCGAGTTCTGCATGTTTCTAGGCCAGTTTTTGGAGCTGAATTCGAATTTAGCAACCATACTGATCTCAGGCAGCTTTTGCCAAATTGTCAGGGAACTCAGATTTGTTTTTCAATAGAAAAACACAATTCTAAAGAATAGTGTTTTAACTATTGACAACAAACCTTCGGTTATGAACATTTACGAAGTAGTTTAGGTGCCTTCGTAACATGTTACGAAGCTGTCAGAGGCGGTTGCCACCTACTACGAATACCTACCCTTACTGGTTGACCTAACCTGACCTGACCCGACCTGGCCTAAATACATGAAGACATCATCCGTGATCAAAACTAACATGATATTCGTGATCAGCAACCCGAAAAGCCCCATAGCAGCCACACTTAACGATGTTCTAACAGGTTCCGATTTTCCCGCCTTTGGGGTCATTGACCTGACCTGCAAGGTCAACTAATGACCTAGGACCTTAAAATTGGGTATCATCGGCTTCCTCTCGTCACGGGCAACACGCTCGTTTTTTCCGCGAAGCTCTAGCTCGATCAGGGGCGAAACGGCAAGGGGGTCCAACGGACCCCCCCCTTATACGCTCGCGGCTGGAAAAACACCAATACGGGCGAGGGTTAATGTTTGACGTTTTTGCCCTCTGGAGGTCAAACCGTCTAGCCTCGGTCACATCTGAAGACACAAACGCAAGGGCCGTCGAATGTTTATTTTCGGCGTTGTTCTAAGGCATATAAGTTCGTTCATCAGCCATCAGCCAGCTTGTCAAAGAGCGACAAGATTGGGAGCATTTGACCTTTGGTGACCTCCAGGTGGTTTGGTCTTTCACCTGTCCTTAAGAAATGACTACACCTTTTTAGGCGCAATTTCATTGTATCATGAGCATAACGTCATTTTCTAACATCATACCTAATATTCATAATTATGCTCAAACTAGCCATAGCTCACCTTCAACGAATTTCAAGACCAAATTCAAAACGTTCACGTGCATTTCGAACGTAAACTTTTTTAATTTGGCCTTTAACTTTGCGAACTTGCGCCTAAAAAGGTGTAGTTATTTGTGATTGATTGACGTGGCCCAGGAGCTGAGTCAAAAGGCGTGGGGAGGGAGCAGTAAAAATGCCCCAGCCTCGATGTGTTAAGGCCTGGCTACACTAATGCGTTTTCTGCGTGCGTTTTTTTGCGGGTTTTGCGTAATATCGTTCTAGAAAAATACCCATACCTACTACGTTTTGTGATGTTTTTTATATTAAATTTTAGTTAATATAAGGGTTATTTTAATTTAACTTTTGCATATAACTAACGTTAAAGTTATATTATATAAAACATTTTTCTAGAACGATACGAACGGTAGAATAGAATAGAAACGATACAAACGATAGAACGGTAGTAAAAACGCAAACCCGCAAAAATGCAAGCAGAAAACGCATACACTGTAAAAAATATTGACTAGCCCCTCGTCAAATGATTCTCAACGCTAAATGTCGGGGGTACAGACTAGTTTTGCATCCTACTTTTGACACACGCTGCGAGCCCCTGGCTTGTTTTGTGTTCGTCAGATGACAGTTACCAGGTGTCGGTTAGTTTTTACCACGTCCCAAAAATAGCTGGAGCGTTTCTGCCTTGTTTTGGAAGCAGGTCCTCGTTAATGCTGTGTATGATAACAAAGTACCTAGTAACAATAATAACGAAAAACAATGTCAAAACGAGGGCGGCTTGTTTAGTGACGATGCTCAAAAGAAGCATCGTCTTGTTCCTACTTAACGAATGAAGCTCAAACTAGGTCAAAACTAACGTATTGCTCAACCCATAGTCAGATGACCAGCAGATCCTACGCCGCCCAATCCAGTCATCGAATTTGCCAGCGAATTCGTTTGAAGACCATCATATTATTAAATATCGGTGGTATTCAAACGAAATCCCTTACCAGTTTGATGACGAATTCATCCGGCCCATTCCAAAAACGCTCAAGATAAAATGAAAGTGTATTTCTGAAATAATGTGCTTTCTTGCAATGCACCTTTCGTATATCAAGCGAATCTTTCACTTCCAGCGCCCGTTTACAGTTATCAATCGAATCAGAAGCATGCACATACCTATCGATAGATCTGAACCTAAGAACACAGAAGACATTTTGTAGAGTACCTGTCTGAGCCTATGCAGTGGAGCCCGTGAGCCGCCCAACCGCAGCTGCCTCATGAACTTGATGATAGGTCTGAACCTCAGATTGGCCAGAGCTTGGCCGTCAATAACCAGCTTATTTATATCCACAGTTGTAGTGACTTAGGGTTTGGAATTTGCCAAACCTAAGTTTTGATTACCAAGAGAAGTTTTGTACTTCTTGCACTTGCCCTTTCTTCATAACTTTGGCGGAAATCGTCGTAGTGAAACTTCAGTGTTCCGTTAGCTGTCGGTTCTTGAGAGAGTTGGCCAGGCCGGACACCGGGGGCGGCTCCACAACTTTCGAAAAATTAAACCTAAGTCCTATTGCACTGCATGGAGAGCAATTCATTTAAAATCGCTCTTGTTCCCCCATGGGCGTAACCACCGCGCTGGAACGCTGGAAATTCCAGCCCATTTTTTGGGATGCTGAAATGCCGCCCCCGGTAGAGGAAGTCTGCAATTGGGGGGTTTAGGGACTTCAAAACGAAGCAAAAGAAACGGCACTGCTCGGTCCACTACATACGCCTGGCCTCAACGTGCCGTTCCTCACTAAAATACCTAGGTAACCTCTATACATGCCTCCCCTCCCAGATGCCCTGCCGCCCCTCCGCACCGACTCTCCCTCAACTTCCTCGGAGCTGTCTATGTGCCGCCCCTCACAGAACCCCACCGCCCTCAATGTGCCGCCCTTCCGCATAATGCTCTATCGCCGTCTGTGCCGCCCTCTCCAGATGACTTGCCGCCCCTCCCCAGAGTACATCGGCGCTCTCTATGTGCTGCCCTCGCCACAGCTTCCCGCCGCCCTCAATAAGCCGCCCCTCCCCACAATGCTCTATCCAGCAGTCGGCGTCGCCCTCCCAAGGCACCTTGCC